TATACAAATGCTATCTATTATTTATTATTATTATTATTATTATTATTATCATTCATGTCACTTTGTATGACATTCCTGGAGGCTAGCGACAAAAAAGTAATAAAAAGCGTTTCTATATTTGAGGAGACCACAGAAAAAAGGGCGTAGTCACGACTGGAAATTGTGGGGGTGTCAATTTCAAAAGCTTGTGGACTCTTAACTGTATATCTGTTTGATTGGTGGTTTAGTTCATATGTTTAAATGGGTGGAAAATCTAACAACAATAATCAACCAACAGCTGAACAGTAATACAGTTATGAGTCAACAAGTGTTCAAATTTGATACCCTCACGATTTTCAGTGTGTGACTATGCCCGTTTTTTTCAGTGGACTCCTCATTTATTTGGCCATACATTAAAGCACAGCATAAACAGGATCAGTACAATAATTGATTTAGATTGAACTAGCCTGCGAATTACGCATCTTGGGACAGTGAAACAACCCTGCCCCTACATTTCAGTGCTATCACGTAGCCCCCCCCCCTTCCAACCTTGAAAAGACAAACAAAAACAAAACAAAAACAAAACACAAACCTAAATAAAAGAACCCAAACTTTTTATACGTCTTCTCGTTAGTGTCAAAAAACTTTCACCCGTCTGTTGGATCGTGCGTCCTAGACGTGCGTTAAAGTGTGTGTGATGTTGACGAAAATATTGACATATATTAACTTTTTGAAGTTTTAGGTTATGCTGTAAATCCCCTATTTTTTGCCCCCTTAATGTAACATCAAAGAAATCGTGTCGGAATCTTAGTTTGCAGTGATCTTCATTAATAGGTTTTAAGATCGTGTTAGTTATTCAACTTTAAGACCTGCATGCAAAGTCCTGAGAGGATCAAACGGAGCGATTTGTTTTTATTCTGTTTTAACCGCGAACAGACGAAAGTAAACCAACTATATACCAGCTCTCAATGGCCATATGCCTTTGATACTGTAAAATTGAATTTTCAGGTCAGAAATCGTGCGAGGTTCTAGAAAAATCTAAGAAATTCACCGCATTGCGTAAACCGTTTAAAGAACAGATTAAAAGACGTGGGCATATTATGGGCCGTCGAAATATAAGACGATATGAAGAAGCAGGGCAAAATAACAGATAGGTTTTCTTTTTTGTTGAGAAAATTTCAAGAAACTGTGAGTACAAGAAAGTGAACAGGTTATTATATGTGCACATGACGGTGGGTGCTAAAGGCTAGTACAATATAAGTCATCAGAAATCTTTAGGGCAAATCATCGTGAGACAGTAGAGCACGAATAGGTCGACCATAAATGTAAAATTAGAACTTTAAGATTAAACGACATTTTTTTGC